TACTAGTTTCCATGGGCCCTGAAAGAGAATCAGAGTTGTACAGAAGGAGAAAGGCAAGTCTGGGGTCACAGAGGACTTCAGTGGGACCAGGATCCTGCTCACCTGTGTCCACCTAGCTCAACCTGGTTACAAAAACTTTGTTCCCTGGACTAAAGCTCGGGGTGGGGGGTGTAGATGGAGACCAAGGCAAGAATTTAAGCTGTTTAGGTGGTAGAACTGGCAGGCTAGTCAGTGACTTCACCTTTAACAGTCCCTACTATAAAAAACATTGTAGCCCTAGCCAGTTTGGCTCAGTGGATAGAGCATCGGCCTGCAGACTGAAGGGTCTCCCAGGTTCGATTCCGGCCAAGGGCACATGCCTGAGTTGTGGACTCGATCCCCAGTGGGGGGCGTGCAGGAGGCAGCCGACCAATGATTCTCTCTCATCATTGATGTTTCTATCTCTCTATCCTTCTCCCTTCCTCTCTGAAATCAATAAAAATATACTTAAAAACAAACAAACATTGTAATAGAACATGTGTACAACTGTATTCAGTCACAAATTTATAGAGAGAGCATCTGAAGATAAGTTAACGCCCAGCTTTATGGTTAGTTTTTCTCTTGTGTGGCTGCTTCCCTCTCCAGGAGATGCTGACGAAAATGTGCATGATCCTTCAAAGTGATCAGTTACGCTTGAGTTTAGACTTTTAAACACAGGGCTGAGGGCTGTGTCTGTCTGTAACTGGGCACACATACCTGAGCTGTTAGGTCCAAAACTGAGTGTTTGCAAGTGATTGGAACTCCCATAAGCCTGTTGAAGGAGGCAACGTTTGGAACAGAATAGTGCTACTTCCATATCCTCACGTTGTAGAAAATAAAACACAGTGAAGGTCCATTTCAACTTCAGGGGGTTCCTCTGATGTCTCATTGAATGGTCAGCTTTAACAGCGCTGTGACAAATCACATTTCCACTTTCAATTACGACATTACTCTTCTTCCCACGTCCCCACCAGCAACAGATGTCACCGTCCTTTCAGCTTTCACCAATCTGATATTATTACCTCAATTTGCATTTCCCTGACTTCTGCTGGGAGGGCCCGATTTGCCTACTCTCTGACACAGTAGATGGCCATAGTCATTCATGCTTGCTTCCCTAATTGGTGAAAACACAGATAACTCTTCAAGTGCCCCACCCTAGTTGACTACAAATAAGTAGTTCACTTTTGAAGTTCATAACCACCCACCAATATATCTGTATTGTAGGTATTTGTGTAGGTACAGGTATTTTGTGGTCAGTGGCCCTTTTGTCTGAGTATCTATATATGTAAAAGGCTAAGTGACCGACCATACATCCGTCTGACCAGCCGATCGACTGGGCAGTACAGATGACACACACTGGCAATTTAAAAATAAACACTGACTTGTGCATGCATGATATCTATAAAGCTCTCACTGGTGCCAATGGCACGCGCGTGTTTCCATCTGTCATTGTCGAG